GGTGGGTGGACTACGTGAGGTCAGGATTTCCAGAGCAGCCTGGCCAACATGGTGAAACCGCATCTCTACTAAAAATCAAAATTAGCCGAGTGTAGTGGGGGCGCCTGTAATCCCAGCTACTTGGGAGGCTAAGGCAGGAAAATCACTTGAACCAGGGAGGTGGAGGTTGCAGTGAGCTGAGATTGTGCCATTGAACTCCAGTCTGGGTGACACAGAGAGAGAGAGAGAGAGACTGTCTCCAAAAAAGAAAAAAAGAAAATACTGAGTAAAGACCACCTTAGCTGAAGGATAACAGCTACAATGACAAACACCTTCCAACCCTATGATTAGCCTAGTAAGTGTTGCCTGGGTTCTGGAAATTTTCCCATTATTACTTTTTTTTTTTTTTTTTTTTGAGTGAGTCTCCCTCTGTCACCCAGGCTAGAGTGTAGTGGTGTGATCTCAGCTCACTGCCACCTCTATTTCCCAAGTTCAAGCAATTCTCCTGCCTCAGTCTCCCAAGAGGCTGGGATTACAGGCACCCAGCTAATATTTGTATTTTTAGTAGAAACGGGGTTTCACCAGGTTGACCAGGCTGGTCTCGAACTCCTACCGCAAGTGATTTGCCTGGCTCAGCCTCCCAATGTGCTGGAATTACAGGCATGAGCCACCGTTCCTGGCCCCCTATTGGTTTCTTAAACTTAGCCTCCCTCATTAAGCCACGACTGTAGTAATTTATCACTAGACATAACACACAGAGAAACACTGCTGTTAAATTTCAACCACATCATCAGTTCTAAAACTTTAGCTTGTATCACCATCACCCCTGAAAGCTTGTTAAAACAGACTGCAGGACCCTATCCCCCGAGTATGATTCATAAGACTACTGCCATAGCAATTCAACAAGTCTTGGTGTAATTTAAGCTTACAGCTCAAGGAGATCATCTGGGAAAATATAAAAGTTCAAGAATAACACATCTAAACTATACCAAACACTTTAATAACTTCAAAACATGTGTGCCTGCACACATCATGCACAGGCTTTCACGCCCTCTTCCTCCTCTCCCAATTAACGAATTTAAATTAACCGTGATATGCACACCTGAATTCAATTTCTTGGAAAAATGAACGTCTCCAATTAACTCAGGTTTTAAAAATGATGTTAAACAAAACACTTAACGTAAAAAAGGACCAAACTAGTATTTCAACTCCCTCATTTTCAGTCCCAGATTAAAAACAAAACAAGGCGAGGGCACAGTGGCTCACACCTGTTATCCCCGCACTCTGGGAGGCTGAGCAGGGGCAGATCACCTGAGATCAGCAGTTTGAGACCAGCCTGACCAACATGGAGGAACTCCCCGCCCCCATCTCTACTAAAAATACAAAATTAGCTGCGTAAGGTGGTGCATGCCTGTAATCCCAGCTACCCAGGAGGCTGAGGCAGGAGAATTGTTTGAACCTGGAAGGCAGAGGTTGCAGTAAGCCAAGATCGCACCACTGCAAAAAACCACCTTTTAATAATAGCAATACTGGTTAAGATTTAAAAAAAAAAAAACCCTGGCTTGGAGTGGTGGCTCACACTTGTAATCCCAGCACTTTGGGAGGGCAAGGTGGGCAGATCACTTGAGGCTGGGCGTTCAAGACCAGCATGGCCAACCTGGCGAAACAATCTCTACTAAAAACACAAAAACTAACTTAGGGGGTTGCGGGGGGAGGCTGAGGCAGGAGTATCTCTTGAACCTGGGAGGTGAAGGTCGCAGTAAGTAGAGATATGCCACTATACTCCAGCCAGCCTGAGCAACGGAGCAAGACTGTCTCCAAACAAAGCAAAAGAAAAAAACCCTGATTTTTTGTTGTTGTTGTTAAAAGCTCAAAAGATAAAGCTAGGTAGCCACAAAGCATTTAAATAAAAGACCAATTAAACACACTAGTTTGTTTAATTAGATCTTTTATTTAAATGCTAATTGGGAAGTTAAAGACAACCAAGAGCTTTCTAAAAGAAAAATAATGTTGACTTATTTGAAAACTAAACCTAACCTGCAGATATCCACAAATAAGAGTATTTATATTGTTGCCCCAGAACTCCTCTCCCAGAAAAAGTAATCAAATTCCCAAGGAAAGATTAACTTAATTTGGTGATCTTTCAAACTTTTTTGCCTTCAAACGTATCTTACCCGATTTCATATTGAAAATCAGAACTGGGAACAGGGAATTTAAATTTGTAGGGTTAACAGTAAGCTCTCTACTGCAAACTAAGTAAAACAATGTTTTTTAACTTGGTAAAACCTGTTGTTTATCAAACCAACATTAAAAACCCAGATAACTGGTATTTCCAACCTCTATTAATACAAAGAAGTCTTCAGTAAGAGATAAATATCCCTAACGGGGGCAATGGGCAAAAGAGGATAAAATGAGCAAAGGGCAATTTAAAAAAGAAATACCAAGCCCAAGCCCAATAAACATGATAAACTTCGATCTCACCAGTTGTTTTTTTTCTTGTGTTTTGTTGTTTTGTTTTGTTTTTGCCAAACACTGACCGGTTGGGAAAACTAGCATAACCTTTCTGAAAGCAATGTGGTAATATGAATCAACTGTCTTGAAAATGAGCAAATTCTTTTGACTCAGCACTTCTTTTCCCAAGAAAATAAGAACACTCAAAGACTGACTTATGAGGATATTTTCAATGATGTTTATAAAAGCCAGAAACTAGAAAATAATGGATTAAATAAATTAGTTTAGATCTATAATCATATAAGCTCTTGAAAAAGTTACCTGACAGAAGGAGGTTGTTCAGAAAATCTGCTTTTGTAATGTTTTACCACTGAAAACACAAAAAGTACAGTATGGTTCCACTGTTATTAATGTGGAACCATATTAATGGCTACCCAAAGGTCTAGAAAAGTAACTACAGTTCACTTTTTGGTGTAGGTCTCTGGGTGGCAGGCGTATTTTATCTTTTTATTTTTTTCTTACCTAATCAGATTTTTCTTTTATGTGCATGTGTTACCTGTGTAACTAAAGTCTCAATCTATTAACTTGCAACATAACAAAAGCCTATTTTAGACCTAGTAATTATACCATTCAGAGAAGAGCTGGTCTGGAATACATCCTACCCTTTGATTTTACTGCTATTCCTAAATTTTATTTTAACAAGGTATGGCTATAACTTATATGTTCAGGAATTCTATTAAGAGCATCCTTATGGTGAAATACACTAGAAAAAAAGTTTTCCCAAACATCTGGCATGGAAACATGGTAAAAGTAGGACACCAAAAAAATAAAAAATAAAACAAAACCCCTAGTTTTTTGAAGGTCTTATTAGTTCATTTCATCAGCATTTATTTTCTCTCACCTAAGCTAATAAAGAATGATGTCGTATGTATTAGCTATATTTCTGTTGCAGAAGTAACACACAGAACTTTTAGGTCTCAATGATTAAGACACACCTAAGCTTATGATGTTTAATTCTAAGAAAATAGAATGTAAATAAGTCAAAAAGTTAAATAATGAATAAGCATGATTTTTTAAAAAGCTAATTAAAATGCCAGAAAGCTAGTTGATAAATTTGAGGACAGATTTTACATAACTGCAGAAAAATGAAAAGACCATTCAGTTTTATTGCAAATTATTTTAATGAAGTTCCCTTAAAAAAAAAAAAAAGAAAAAGAAAAAACTTCTCAATTTAATTACCTGAGAACTCAATTGTCATATTTTCAGAATCAATAAAAGAGCTTTAAAATTTATCTTCTACAGACTGGGCGCAGTGGCTCAAGCCTGTAATCCCAGCACTTTGGGAGGCCAAGGCGGGTGGATCACGAGGTCAGGAGTTCAAAACCAGCCTGGTCAGCATGGTGAAACCCGTCTCTACTAAAAACACAAAAAAATTAGCCGGGCATGGTGGCGCGCATGTGTAGTCCCAGCTACTGTGGAGGCTGAGGCAACAGAGCGAGACTCTGTCTCAGGAAAAAGAAATATACATATATATATATATATATATATATATATCTTCTATAATCCTCAAATTCCTTCTTAGACTATGTTCTCTATATTAAAAACTAAGACTTCCACTATTTAGTAACAGCGTTACATATCAGAGATTTTTCTTATTATGCAAAACACTGTATTCAAACATTGCCTGAATAGAAGGTTTAATTTTTAAAACTGTTACTTATAATACTATAAAAATCTGTTAATAATGGAAAGTCAACGAGTAGGCAGCGACATACTTCTAATCTGTCAATGAATACTGAGCCAACTAATTTAAGTTAAAGAAATAATGACTGACATGCAAGAGGCAATAGTAACTCATTTCCAGGTTTTCTAAAAGTTGCACTGAACCAAGCTTCATTTTTATTCTTCAGCTATATCCCTGATTCCTCAGGACAAGTAGTTTTTTTTCCCCCAAACAAATGAAAACTTGATTTTCTGAAGCTCTAAAATGCAAAAATTTGACACACATGGTTAAATGAGATGTGGTTATCAATTTACACCAAGCCTAACTTACCACGAAATAGAAAATATCAAAGAAAGGAGTGCAGAAGCAGAAAGCCTCTACTTTCTCACTCACAATAGAGTGTTGTTCAATATTAGACAACACTGCGTTTTGTTGTTGTTTTAGCTACAAGGATAGGTATGCAATATGCAGTTAATTATTCCAACGGCTTCAAGCAAGTCATATGCTACGACTAGGAAAAGTAGCAGTTAGGTCACAAACAGCAAAGACGTAAAAAAGATGTGAGCAGAAGCCTCACCATCTGAAAAGACGGCCCATCAGCACCTCTTCCGAGAAATAGTTCCCTTCCCCCACCTTTAAGTAGGCACTTGAGATTGCCAAGAAGATCCATTTCTTTATTAACTGGTGCCCATTTGGGGCAACTGTACACCAAGCTGCTCTTAGGCCTACCATAATCCTTTCCAAAAGTGCTCAAATGAGGCTAAAGCCAGGGTAAGCCTCGTCGGAGCCCAATTCTTCCTGACCCCTCTTCTCCACCCCACCCCACTCCTCCGCCCCGCCCCAGTAGGCGCTAGACCGGCCGGAGGACGGATACAGGGCCCGGAGACTGGCAGAAATTGCCCGCAAGAGAAGCTTTAGGCGGCCGAAGGCCTCCGCCATAGCAGGACTTGGGAAGCACCGCCCCCAGCGCACCTCCCCACACCCGGCTAACCAGCGAACCTCTGCTTTCGACACCCTCTATCCCCAGCAGAGGCAGCGAAGACAAGGCCGGGAGGCACCCGGCTGGGCTGCGCACCAGGCCCAGGCCAGCCCCTCGGGACCGCGCGGGCCGCCCGAATCCGCTCCCCCGTCGGGCCCGGTTCAGCTGACGCGGCGGCCACCCTCACCTGGATGACCTCGTTGACCTCCCGGATACATTCCACCATGTGTTGTAGAATCTGCTCGGCCGTGAGCACCTCGTAGCGGTAATCCTCCTCCTGCTCGTGCCCCGGCCCGCCGCCGCCACCACCACCGCCGCCGCCGCCGCCACCGCCGGGCCCCAGAGCGCTGCCGCCGCCACCGCCCGTCTCCCCGCACAGCAGTCCGTCCCGCTCCCCGCCGACGCCCAACCCGGGCTCCACCAGCTCCACCTCGCCCAGATCCAGGTTATCGTCGTCCGGCTCGTCGTCTTCTTCGTCCTCCTCCTCCTCGGCGCCGCTGTCCTCCTCACTGCACTCCTCGTCCTCGTCGAACTCGTAGTTGTAGCCCTCGTCCGAGTCCATGGCGCGACGCGCGGACGCCCGGCGGACGCTGGCCGAGGCGGGGAGAGGGCGGGGACGCCGAGGCCCCGGCTCTCGCTCCGGCTCCGGCTAATGTCCGGACGCAGGCCTGGCTCCGGCCCTGCGGGCCGCGGCTCCTCTCCAGGAGCGGCGGCTGGCGGCTGGTGGCGGCAGGGAGGGCGCGGAGGAGGGAGGGAGGGAGCGAGGGGGCCGCTTGCTGCCCGCCTCAGTCAGTCGTGGCTCCGCTCCGGCCTCCGAGAGAAAACAGTCCCCAGCGCCACCTCCACGGCCGCTGCTATCGCTACTGAGCCAACAAAGGGGCGTGCGTCACCGCGTCGCGCTGCGCCGTCGCGTCACTCTTTTTTGCGTCACTGCGCCCCGCCCCGCCGCCCCTGCGTGGAGCGCGAGGAGACCCCACGGTCCGGCCTCCCTGGGCCTTGGACCGGAGCAGAGCTGCGCGGGAATTGCCTTCCCGGTTCGTCTCGCTGCCGTTGTGTGGGCCGGGCGGAAACCCGTAGACCTTTTATGTGAAGAGATTGAGGCCTCCAGGTCACCAGTCACCGAGAGAGGGACCCCTGGACCGTCTGGGTGGTGGTTTTTGCAGCAGGCCCTAGGCCATCGCGTAGTCCCATGGGGACGCGGCCTCCCCACCCGGCCGTAAAGGCGCTTCCCGCCGCCCTGCGGTAATCCCGGGAAGCCTCAGCCGCTAAAATTTCTGTTCCCTTGCCTACTGATGAAAACCTGTTGTAAGTGGAACCCCAAAATTGTATGACAGGCGAACCCACTTTAGGGAGCTGTGTGATTCTGTCCACTTGTACAGACGTGCGGTGGTTTTTAAGTGTCCTATAATGACGTCATTTTAAAGTGGCATTTCCTCAACTTCGCTGACAAGAGCCCCTCTTGAGGGCCCTAAACGATGTAAACGACGATGGTTTTCATGAATTGAGCACTGTGTAAGGACTTTACATATATTCTCATCTTCACGGAGCCATAGTACCCATTTTACACCTGAGGAACCTGAAGCTCAAAAAGGAAAAGGGACTTGCCCAAGACCACAGAACCCTTGCCCTATTTTAGCCGCTGTATGCCTTAAAACATCAATTATAAAAATGCTTTGTGATGCATATGTATTGTGTACTATATAGTACAAAGAAGACATGAATGCTTCAACCAAATGCAGGCAATGATAGAAAAACCTGCAAGGACCAAATGTAGCCAGAGAGATAATGCTTGAGTCTTATATAGAAGTGTGCTGTGTGAGCTGAGTGTTGATGAATAGCTAGGAGTTCAACAGAGAAGGTGGAGAAGATGGTCTGGCGGAAGAGAACTGGCAACAGCGCAGAAAGCGTGTCGAGTAATTAATAGTTTTGGGAGCTTAAAGTGCGTGGATGGTAGATGGCAAAATATTAGGCAAGTTAGGGGTCATGTCAGTAAGAGCATTTTATGCCTTTCTACTAGTGGGCTTGAATCTGTAAACAGGACATGAGAGCCAGAAGAGTGTTCTGAAGGAAGGAGAGACATAAGAAGGCTCCCTCTTGAGATAATCTGAAGTATTGGTCAGATTGAAAACCTTTTAAAAATCTAAATCCCTGATTTGATGACACATCTTACTGTTCAACCTATAGGTTCCCTTTGGAAATTAATTTTGAAACGTGAAAAATTCCATTATAATGTTTAAAAGCCTCTATCAATTTCTCCATTTTGTAAGTTTTAAAATACTGATAATCAGATTTGATAAAGTAACCTTAGGAGTTGCAAAGTAAAGCTTTTAACCTCAATACTGATAGATCTAGTTTCCTTTTTTTTTTTCTTTTTTTCTTTTCTTTTCTTTTTTTTTTTTTTTTTTGAGACAGAGTCTTGCTCTGTCGCCCAGGCTGGAATGCAGTGGCCCCATCTCAGCTCACTGCAACTTCCGCCTCCCAGGTTCAAGCACTTCTGCCTCAGCCTCCCAAGCAGCTGGGACGACAGGCACATGCCACCACGCCCAGCTAGTTTTTGTATTTTTAGTAGAGACAAGGTTTCACCTTGTTGGTCAGGCTGGTCTGGAACTCTGACCTCGTGATCCACCCGCCTTGGCCTCCCAAAGTGCTGAGATTACAGGTGTGAGCCACTGCAACTGGCCTAATCAGTTTTATTTTAATTATGCTTATATGTACACAGCCTGTATTATCCCCATTTTCTAGTGAATAAAAGTGGTCTGATATTTTTCTCAGGAACCTTTTACATGATCTCATGACCTCATTTTTAAATTAATATCACAAACAGTATTACAGTGCTTCTGAATTTTTGGGTCTCCTACTATTGCTAAACCATGTTAACCATGGTTTGATGGTAGTTAACATTTTCTGTACATATTTTATTTAATTTGTTCTATAAAAATATGTATAGAACTGTACATACCATAGAACTATAGAACTATATGTATAGTTCTAGTCATATTTTTATAGAACAAATTAGTTAACATTTGTTCTATACATATTTTAGAAACCATCTTAGATTCAGGTTAGGTTATGGTGCTATTTAAGGAAAACCAGTAGAACAACTTCTCTCTGGCCCCACATTGGCCAAGGGATGACCCACATACATTATTTTGTTTTGTTTTTTAATGACTTGTTCTTAAAGGTATTGCCTGTGTTATTGTTTTCCCAGCTATGGTGATTACTAGCTAGAAGCACAGTAGTCTTTAAACAACAACAGGGAAAGGTTCTTGAAAAAGAAAATATACCAATTAACACCTTTTTGGTGACAAGATAATTACTGTGGGTAATTTGGCACTCCCATTGTCTCCAGGTCCTTGTAAGGTCAAAAAATATTGGTATATATTTATAAAATATCTATTCATGGGGCAAAATTCCATAAATGTTTATACGCTAACCAAATGATTATGTACTGAATACCAACAGGAAGAATATGCAGGCGCTTTTCAGATACATATAAATTACAATAGCACTGGAATTTTTCTTCCTTTTTTTTTTTTTGAGATGGGGTCTCGCACTGTCACCTGGGCTGGAGTGCAGTGGCACAATCTCAGCTCATTACAACCTCCACCTCCCAGGTTCAAGCAATTCTCCTGCCTCAGCCTCCCAAGTAGCTGGGATTACAGGCGCCCACCACCACACCCTGCTAATTTTTTTTATTTTTAATGGAGACGGGGTTTCCCTATGTTGGCCAGGCTGGTCTTGAACTCCTGATCTCGTGATTTGCCCACCTTGGCCTCCCGAAGTGCTTGGGATTAGAGGCATGAGCCACTGCACCTGGTTAGCACTGGAATTTTTCTAGTGGCAGATAATAAAACTGTAAGCTATGGAAAAGCCAACTGTACCAACTCTACCAGTTGGCTCAGGACAGGGGTTTCCTGGGACGTGGAATTTTCAGTACCTAAACTAGGTAGATCCAGGCAAAGTGGGATTTGGTTTGGTCACCCTACAGGGTACCTGACCAAAAATTCTTGTATATAAGCAAATGTCTCTAAAATAAAATGGGAAGAAATTGCTTTTTGTCATTTTGTTTATAAAATTAGTTTTAATGCAGCACTTTTTTTTCTTTCTTTTTATTTTTTTTTGAGACAAAGTCTTGCTGTCACCCAGGCTGGAGTGCAGCGGTGTGATCCGCCACTCAGGTTCAAGCGATTCTCCTGTCTTGGCCTCTGAGTAGCTGGGATTACCAGCATGTGCCACCATGCCCAGCTAATTTTTTGTATTTTTAGTAGAGGTGGGGTTTCACCATGTTGGCCAGGCTAGTCTCAAACTCCTGACTTCAAGTGATCCACCTACCTTGGCCTCCCAAAGTACTGGGATTAAAGGCATGAGCCACTGCAGCTAGCCTGTTTTTGTTTCTTAATGTTTTAGGTGTTCTATGTTTCACTAGGAAGTAGGTAAAGAAATTAAAATTAAATGTTACTACTAAATTTAATATTAAATTTAGTCACAAAAAGAAACACCGATAAGCTGAGTACTTTGCATTTCTGTAGAAACATCTGTGTATTTCAAATTTTGTTATAGATACCAATTAAGTGTTACAGTATTATTAAGAGATAGCATCATACCAGTTCTAAGTGGTAATAATAATAAGGTATAGAGAAACTGAAGTTACATGCCTCATTAGAAGTCTAATAGAGAAGCCGGGCGCTGTGGCTCACGCCTGTAATCCTAGCACTTTGGGAGGCTGAGGTGGATGGATCACCTGAGGTCAGGAGTTCAAGACCAGCCTGGCCATGTTGGTGAAACCCCATATTAAAAAAAAAAAAAAGTCTAATAAAGAGAGTGACAACCACAAGTAGAACCAAAGATTCCCAACTGCAGCCCTTTATTTAAGATCTCCCCATCCTGGCACAGTGACTCACACCTGTAACCCCAACACTTTGGAAGACCAAGGTGGGAGAATCAATTGAGGCTAGAGTTTGAAACCAGCCTGGGTAACACAGTGACACCCTGCCTGTACAAAAAATAAAAAATAAGCAAATTAGCCAGAGCTGAGTACAGTGGCTCATGCCATAATCTTAGCACTTTGGAAGACTGATATGGGAGAATCACTTGAGTGCAGGAGTTCAAGACCAGCCTGAGCAACATAGCAAGACCCTGTCTCAAAAAAAAAAAAAAAAAAATAGCCAAGCACAGTGGTGCATGCATGTAGTCCCAGCTACTCAGAAGTGTAAGACAGAAGGATCCCTTGAACCTCCAGGAGTTTGACGCGCAGTGAGCTATGATCACATGGTTACAGAGCAAGACCCTGTTTCTAAAAAAATAAAATTAAAAATAAAAGATATTCTCTCCCTTACCTTTCTTCTAGAAAACATTTGTCCCTTGGTATCTGCAGAAGATTGGTTCCAGGACCCCCACAGATAACAAAATCCATGGTTGCTCAACTCCATTATATAAAATGGCATGCTATTTGCATATAACCTACATACACGTTCTCAAGCATTTTAAATCATCTCTACTTGTAACACCTAGTGCAATGTAATGCTTTATAAATAGCGGTTATATTTATTATTGTTACCTTTGAATTTTTTAAAATTACTATAATGTTACCTTTTATGTTTTTTTTTTAATTTCAGTCCATGATTGGTTGAATCTGTGGATTCAATGAGGCCTATTATACAGTATCTATAGACTTTATAATTGAGCCTGAGCTTTTATACAAGTAATTATCTAATGTGTGATAAGATAATGCTGGAACTCACACCTGTAATCTTAGCATTTTGGGAGGCTAAGTGGCTCATGCCTGTAATCCTGGCACTTTGGGAGGCTAGGGTGGGCAGATCACTTGAGGTCAGGAGTTTGACACCAGCCTGGCCAACGTAGTGAAACCCTGTTTCTACTAAAAATACAAAAAACTAGCTGGGTGTGATGGTGGATGCCTGTAATCCCAGCTACTTGAGAGGCTGAGACAGGAGAATCACTTGAACCTGGGAGGGAGAGGTTGCAGTGAGCCAAGATCATGCCACTGCACTCCAGCCTGGGCAACAGAGCAAGA